TTAGGACCGATAGTCCTTACGATCCATCCTAAGAAGGACTGGACTGACCTGATCCTTGGACCGGATTGATTAACAGCCCTACAGAGGCATGCACAAGAGAGGCATGCATGCCCAAGACCCTGTGCCCCCACCCTAATTGATGTGCAGATCAGGCGTTACTTTTGCCGCCTACTGTACGTACAGTATTTAATGATGCGATAGTGAAAAGTTTAAAGTTTAATCATTTTCACTTAGGCACTTTTTCTTAATGAAGATTATTGGGTTAACAGGAGGAATTGGATCAGGTTTATTATATTCACTTTTTCGATATTAAATAAAAGTTCAGTTATACATATTAATAATCGCCAATTTTCATTCACATAAAGGAAAGAGTACCGTTTCTAATATGATTAGGAAATATGGAATCCCAGTAATAGACTTAGACTTGTTGGCCCGTGAAGTAGTTAAACCTAAAAAACCAGCTTATGAATTAATAGTCAATCATTTTTCTAGAGATATTCTTCTTAAAGATGGAACTCTGAACAGGGCAAAACTAAGAGAAATCCTTTTTTCTGATGAAAGCGAGAGAAAAATCTTAAACAAATTTACGCATCCATATATTGGACGAGAAATCTTGAAATTGGTAATTTGGTATTGGATCACTGGAAGAAAGGTTGTAGTACTAGATACTCCATTATTGATTGAAGGAGGACTTCATAAATTCGTAAGCTCTGTTATCGTAGTTTATTGGTATGTTCTTTTTTTTTTCAGATTAAGTGAAAGATTTATTGTAGGTTATTTGCGAAGATTTATGTATTTACTTTGCTTATACAACCGTTATGCATCATACATACTCATAAATGATCTTTGAATTCCTAAATGTTTATTTATAGTTCCGAACAAATTCAGCTGAATCGTTTAATGAAACGAGATAATTTGTCGGAACAAATCGCCAGACAACTTATTTCGGCTCAAATACCTCTTAAGGAAAAAATAAAATTCGCTGATTTTGTTATTGATAATTCTGGTGATTTATCTGAGACAGAATACCAAGTCAAAAATGTAAATAAAGCACAACCATCATTGTGTAATTGGTTGCTAAGTTGGTTGGGACCTCCTT